ATGAATTTGTCTCCAATGAAGAGGAGGTCTACTACATGTTTTCCCTCAAAAACAAGTCTCTGCTCTCAAGGATTGTTCTGAACCAAACTGACTACACAAGGCAGAGATACACATGGAGTGAGGAAACTCGAACATGGAAGCTTTTGACATTCGTACCTAACGAGTACTGTGACAAATATGGGCTTTGTGGTACAAATGGGAATTGTGACAGTACTCAACTTCCAGCCTGCCAATGTTTGAAAGGATTCAAGCCTAAATCACCAGGTGGATGGAGCTCTGGCGACTGGTCTCAAGGATGTGTCAGAAACAAACCATTGAACTGCCAGGCAGGTGATGGATTTATCCAATTTGGAACATTGAAACTGCCTGATGCTACCCATTCATGGGTAAACAAAACTATGAGCCTCAAGGAATGCAGGGGAAAATGCTTACAGAACTGTTCTTGTATGGCATATACTAGTTTGGATATAAGAGGAAGAGGTAGTGGCTGTGTCATTTGGTTTGGTGATCTAGTTGATATTAGACAGTTTCAATTTGGGGGGCAGGATCTGTTCATTAGGATGTCTGCTTTGGAATTAGGTATGAACATACCTTCCGTTCACATCTCTTCATGAGAAAAATTGAATGTTTCATTGAAGATGTGTCTAGTAAGAAGTAGAAGGAACAAAGAACTATGCTTATTACAGCTTGTGATGACGTACTTTAGCTAAGATTTAATTATATTTGTTCTTTCTTTCCATAAAAATTGAAAATGAAGGATCGAAGATAAATGAAACTAAGTTGAAGACTATTTTTACTTTTCTATTTTTATGTCACTAGGTAACAAATAGTTTCCTTCAGTTAGAGGACTCAGACTCCCTTTCCTTTGAATAACAATGATTGATCCAAGACTAGAATGGCAGAATCAAACGCTAGTGAATCATTTCCTTTAACTCAAAGAATTTTATTTTGTGGGATAACTTGCGAGTTTTTTCCTTAATTATAAGGCATAATTTTAAGTAGTATGCAATGCGTAGAGCCAGTAAAATTTAATCTGATGTTACAGGTTATGGTAAGAAGCAAGTAGTGATTATTGTCATCTCTGTAATGTTGACTGGAATGGTTGTCATTGGATTATTATGCTACATATGGATCAAGAGACGGAGGAAGCAAGGAGGAGGTGAAAATGAGGAGATGGAGTTACCAATATTTGATTTAACGACTATTGTGAAAGCAACAGACAACTTTTCAAGTGACAACATGCTAGGACAAGGTGGCTTTGGACCTGTTTACAAGGTAATGTTTTATTTTTTTCACTAAACTTTTCAATATTTAGAAGTTATATTAAACTATAATTATTATATAGTCAAATTGTATTAGACTTATAAAGAGAAAGTTTTTTTAATACTTATCTCTATATTTATAGATTATGTTTGGTAAAGTTGGTGTGATGTCCTTTTGAACTTCAAAAACTCCAACTGCATCAAACACTATAATTTATGAAAAATGTTACAAATTTTCATAAGTTAGTATTTTATTAATTTCAGTGTAAATCTCAGAAGCACCGAATTAATATTTTTGTATGAATTTCTCATTTGGATTTTAATAAAATTAATATATTATTTTTATTTTATCTTTATTTTTTTTTATTTATAAAAATAACACTTCTACAATAGTTTATTTCTTAGAAAATTTTTATTAAAAACTCCAATCACATTAAACAGGCATATAATATTTAAATTCAAAATTTATTTAAAAAATTTTAACTTTTTTTACTTAAATAAATAAATTCTTTATATTAATTTTTAATTAATGCAAGTAAAAGAAGCTGGCAACAATTAGTGTGTTGTAATCTTTCTAGAGAATGCAAAGGGAACGGCGGTTTCAAGCAAATGACATACTAAAAAGGTACGGGTAGCACTAATATATACCAAGTGGCAATAACTTAAAGGGGAAGAAAGAGAAGAAAGAAACATTTGAATATGCAAATCGAACCATTTGCAACGGTCATATTAATAACCGTTGCTCCCGCAAGCTGCACCGCGCAACGCCACCATAGCGCCGGAGCAGTGGGGGCGCGGAGGTTGTTCCATCCGTCGCATGTGGGCCACAGCTAATGTGATGTGGGGGCATCAACGACCGACCGTTTACCTTTTGGTCGTCTGTAATTATGATCTTGAGAAAGTTGTTTCTTTAAGGAAAGAGAAAAAAAGGCACTAATGGAAGGCAGCACAACAGTGTTTCTGTGGCCTACCCCACCCGATAGATCCCAGGTGTGCTTTTTTGACTAACTTGTTGCGTGTTGGTGAGGGCTAGTCAGGTCCTTCTCACGTGACATAGGTTGGAGCCTTCTGGGGGTTTCGGACTTGGTCCACTCTTACGGGCCCAAGAGATAAGAACGCAATATCTATAATACCCCAATCCTATATTAGAAAATATCATAATTTTAAAATTGATCAAAATTTCGAATTATTTAAAATTTTATATATTTAAATAAATTTATACATTTGAAACGGATGTGGGACAAAGAATCCCACAATTAGGACCCCTAGAGGCGAGAAAATGGTAGTCATATACCAAATTGGTGTTTAAACTTTTTTAAACAAAGACAAAACATTTCATGATTTTAAAGTTAGTAAGTTTAAAATTACGGTAAAATTTTATATATTTAAACAAACTCACATACTTGAAACCGATATAAGATAAGGAGCCCTACAATTAAACCCATTTCATATCATGAAAATATGAATTGAGAATT